CATAGGTCTCCTTTTTTTGGTATTTTCACGCAAATTCTTCTGCTAATTGGGGTTTAGTCCAATTCTGTATCCTTCCCTTCAAGGCTCAGTGTTCCACGATTATCTTCTGTGTCTGTGTTAATTGGTTTCCCTTTTCTTTGTTGAAGAGGGTCTGTGCAATCCTTCTGCCTAGTCCGCCATCTTGCCGGATCTGTCCTGCTTTTTTATGTTAACGTTAATGTTTCTTTAAGGGTGTATTCTATTTTTTAAAATCCCTTTATATGTACTTTTTCCCTCGATTTAATAGATTATTACCATTTTGCCATATTTCTTTCCTATTCTTCTTTTTTAAATGATATAATGTATTACTATCCACTGCCATTGAGTTGATTCCAACTCAGAGTGACACTGTAGGACAGAGTAAAAGTGTCCCGTAGGGTTTCCAAAGCTGTAAATCTTTAAAGAAGTGGCTGGTCAGTTCAAACTCCTGACCTTTTGGTTCTCAGCTGAGTGCTTTAACCACTGAGGTACCAGGGCTCCTCTATAATGTATTATAAATACAGCTAAATTCCCATTCTTCATTTTTTCTCCAAGCTTAACTTCTTTCTTTCTTTTTCTTAAAAGCCTTATCGCAGCTTTATTTCTAATAGCCCCAAAATGAAAACAATCAAAATATCCTTCAGCTGGTGAATGAATATACAAATGGTGGTACATCCATAAATGGAATACAACTCTCTTATAAAGGGAAATGAATTATTGATACATTCATTGGCATGGATGAATCTCAAAAACACTGATTATATTGAGTGAAACAAGCTAGTCTCAAAAAACTAAATGATTTCATTTATATGACATTCTAAAAAACACAAAAACAATGAGACAGATACAAATTGGGGTTTGTCAGACAATGGAGGTGAAGAGAGGATTTGACAGTATACAGCCACAAGAGTTTCTTGGGAGTGATGGATCTGTTTTATTTGTTGGTTTTGGTGAGGCTTATAAAATTCTATGCATTTTTTCAGAACTCATATAACTGTTTAACTTCTTTCTTGAAATAGGAAAGTAACACTTCCACACATTTTTAGATTTTTTTCTACACACATGCACACATGTGATCCTAAAAAACATACCACATGGTTTTGTATATCAATTTCCATAAAATATAAGAAATGCCAACAAATGAATTCAAAGACAGCAATCAATATAAAAATGGTCTAAAAATATGGAAAGGTTAATTGATGGGAGGGGAAAGAAAATGGGTGATGAAGAGTGTTCAGCTTCACTAGTTATCAGGAAACAAGCTCTGGTGGCTCTGTGGTTGAAGCCTTGGGCTACTAACCAAAAAGTTGGCTTTTCAAACCCACCAGCTGCTCTTCAGGAGAAAGATGAGGCAGTCTACCTCAGTAAGAATTTACATACAGCCTTGAAAACCTTATGTGGCAGTTCTTCTCTGTCTTATAGGGTTGTTATGAGTGGGAATCAAATCAATGGCAATCCAAATTATACAGTAAGATACTATTTCACACTAAATGAGTAGATGCTGTTGTGAAGTTCTGTCAAGCTGGTTCTGACACACAGACAACAGAATGAAACATCTACTGGTCCTGAGCCATCTTCATAATCGATGCTTTATTTGAGTCCATTGTTGCACCCATTGTGTCAATCTATCTCCTTGAGGGTTTTCCTCTTTCTGGCTGACTTTCTACTTTACCAAGGGACTGGTCCCTTCTGATAGGTTTTAAAATATTACTTATTGAACATTATAGAGTATGCCACCAAGAAAATGAATACAGCTGGGGCATTTATGCCAACAATTAATTTCTAAAATCAAGACGGCCAAGATATGTCAGGTAATAACTAAATTCTTCACTCATATCGAGAGACATAAACAAACTATACCATTCATTATGATTTTTTGGCATCATTTCAAATAAAGACACATGAAAGAATTAAGTTTAACTTAGCTAGTAAATGTTATAATAATTTAAGAAATACTTTACTATCAAACCTTGCAGGAAAAGTGATTTTGAAACTATTTAGAAAATAAATTTATTCTTGTAATTTTCCCAAAGTACAGCCACTGCTAAAATCACAGTTGAGAAAACATGTCATTATTTTTTCAAATATGTAAATCATAATCAAAATTTGGTGGCATAGTGCCTAAGGCATTTGACTGCTAACCAGAAGACTGGCAGTTCAAACCCACCATCCACTCCTTGGAAGGAAGGTTGGGCAATCTACTTTGATAGTGATACTCCTTCGGAAACCTGAGGATGGGTCGCTATGAGTCGGATCCAACTCAATGGCAGTGAGTTTCGTTCTTTGGTTTTACCTACCATTCTGAGTCACAGGTATTAGGTATGAAAAATTTCAAGTGGTCTGAAAGATACCCAAACAACACTACCTGAATGAAACTATACCTTTATGTGATAACAGAGCCACGATTCGAGAAACATGTGTCTGTCTATATTTGACCCGCAACTCTCCTCCAAAAAAGTGACCTATGGGGATATCACAAAGGCTTTACCATACATAAAATGTCATTTCCTGTATACCTTGGGAGGTGATGATGCAAGAGAGGGGCCATAGTTCAGGCCATCACTACAAGCACTACCATGAACAGATAAAATAGAAGCTTGAGTGGAGTAGATACTGTCATTATCAGGAGAGTACTGAGACTCAAATGTGGATTCATTTACTAAGTCAGCATCATTTGTGTCCACCTGGAAATAAAAACAAAAATGTCAGTTGAGAATTCAGTTCTATTACATATATAACATACAGTCTCCACTTGAAACCAGAAGACATACTTCTATAAGCGTTCTGTCTGTTCTGTTTTCTATATGCTCTCTTCATGCTCTTGACCACATCAGAGACTGACTACTGTAGCAGAACATGACAGACTGTCAATCGACAGCAGAAGGTGCTGGCATCCAAGGTGGTTTAATTCCAGCAATTAACAAAGGGCCTGGAATAATTTTAAGATTAAACAGTTTCATCACTTCAGGAAAATATTTACTTTATCCTACTTGACACAATTTTTTAAAACTACCTGCCTGACTCCTAAAATTTTATAATAAAATGAAAGAAGTCCTCACTTTTCCTGTTCAACTAAAACTGTTATTCAACAAGTCAGTTGGGCAACTACCTAACTAAAATTCACTAAACTTTAAACCATTCAAGCTCTGCTATCTGTAACTTGGTAATCATTAGAAACCCAAAGAATAAATCGGATTTCTGCTAAAATTATACTATCAGACTGTTGCTGTTAGTTGCCATTGAGTAAGCTCTGACTCTTAGACCTTATGGATAACAGAACAAAACTTTGCATGGTTCTGTGCGATCTTCACAATTGTTGCATATTTGAGTTCATTGCTGTGGCTAAGGACCTATTTATGATCTGGTTAAGGATAAGTTACAACTTTCTATTGTTGGAAAACTCACATAGAGTGAGGTAGAGACGTGCACTATACATTTTCTAAAAATCCTGCTACTATGGTATCATAGTGCCTACGGCATTTGACTGCTACCCAGAAGACTGGCAGTTCAAACCCACCAGCAACTTCTCAAAAGGAAGGCTGGGCAATCTACATGCATAGTGATACAGCTTCAGAAACCCAAGGAGGGGTCGCTATGAGTCAGATCCGACTACACGGCAGTGGTTGCATTTTGCGTTACTATTTTTGTGTGGCTGAACTAAGTGAAAGAATCAAACCAAGATGAGCTTCATGTTCTTCTTGCCATTCATTCAGTCACACGTTAGAATAGGAGTAGAACTAATACACACACTACCCTTCTCAGATTATCTCTATTTTCTGTCTCGGTAGCAAATTCTATATGTTCTATTTATTTGTGATTTCAACATACATGTTTAGCCAGAAGTTAGAAGCATCATCACATGATACCAGGTACATTCTTGTAAACAATTTACAAAAATGAAGTTGGGCCATTTCAGTGTGGCCCTCTCTTCAAATAAATTTCACAAGCCTAATAATATACTTTGGGAGCTCTGCTGGTGTATTGTCCAAGGCATTTGACTGCTAACCAGAAGACTGGTGGTTCAAACCTACCAGCCACTCCTCAGAAGCAAGATTGGGCAATCTACTTCCATAGAGATACTACCTTGGAAACCCAAGGAGGGGTCTCTATGAGTCCAATCAACTTGACAGAAGTGAGTTTGGTTTTTTTTTTTGGTTTTACTTTCAGCAAGCAAGATTGGATCATCTGCTTATAGCAGGTTGTTAAGGAGCCT